CGGCCAATGCTGTCCGGGGGCGGGGCCTCGCCAGGGGGCGGGGCGGGGCTAGGCGCGGGGACCCAGCTGTCCGGACTGCGGGGCTCCCACCTATGCGCGCTCCGCGCTCCTCCTCCCCGCAGTCCGCATCCTCCGGTTACCGGGCTAAAGGGGACAGGCGCCTCCCTCCCGTCCCACGACAGTCCCCGGGCATGTTGTGAGTCAGCAGCATCCCCTGGGCCCGCCCCTCCAGGCCGCAATCACGGGCCTGCGCCCACACCTTCACCCGGGCCATTTAACCCCCAAAACGGGAGGGAGGCGGCGCCCAGCCGGCGTTGACGTTGGTCGCCCGTCCTCAGCTCTCGGGCCGGTAGTTGCCCGAGCAGAGAGCACTCGCCAGAGAACATGGCAGTCTGCAGGGACCTGCGCGCCCCGCGCTCCGGCTGCCGCGATCCAGAGCGGTCGCAGTTCGGTCCGGTGCTTTGCCTCCAGCGTCCAGGACGCGTGATGGACCCGCTCTGACCCTGACTCACTCTCCCTGAGTCCCCACAGCGCGCCAGCCAGACGGGGCCTCGGAGGGCGGCGCCTTCTGTTCTGTATGTCTGTCCGCCCCAATAGGAGCTCTCGGAGGGCCAGGTCAGTGTGGGGATCTTTGCATCGCCCCCAGCACCAAGCACACCAATAACCCCACCGCACCCCAAAGCCCCATCTACTCCAGCGGCACCAGGACTCCCCAAGGCCCCTACCTCCACTTTGTCCGATTCTCTGAGCCGCTCTCTGCACGCCTCTTTCCCCCTAGATGCTTCCCTTTGGTCTGCCATTTCTTTGGGCATTTTCCTGAGGTTCCTCGCTGCTCCTAGCGTCTCCGCTCCAGTCACTTGTGGCTGGAACATGAAGTGGCGACCTAGAGGCTAATACCTGTAGCGCATCACATTTTCCTGGATGTGGGGAATGGCGGGTTCCTGGGAGAGAAACGAAGATGCACGTGATAAATGCTGGGTCAGAGGAGAGGGAGGAGCGGAGGATGGGGGCGACTGCCCAGCTGATGTCAGATTTTCAAATGAGCAGGGTCCCCCGCAGCCAGTCCCGGCTGCACTGCAGGGGCTGTCACAGGCCCGGACCACCCGCTGGAGGGGGAGCCGCCCGGGCTGCGGCTCCTGCGGGCGGCTCGAGGCCAGACTCAGGATCCTACCCGGCGGGAGGGGGAGGTACTGAGACGGGAGGGGGGAGTGTGGGGAGGAGGGGGTGCGCAGGGGCTGCGGGCACAGCCAGGCGCCCCCGCGGCCCGGCACTTGGTACGCTCCAGGCCCGACCCGCTCCCTCCCGCACCCCGCTCCTTCCCGCATCCTTGTCCCGAAGGTGCCAGCTGGCGGGCTGTGCCTGAGCCGCAGGAACCGAGGAACCGGGACCAGCCCTCCGAGGCGCACTGACCTGCCCATCCCGGGGGCCCTGTATTAGCAGCCTCGGCGCTAACGCTTTCGGCGGCAACTCCCTGCAGGTGGGGCGCGCACCCCGGCACCTGGCTCCGGCGCCCCCCGCGGACCCCGCTCCCGGCCGCCGCTGCCCGTGGCCTCAGGTGAGTCGGGAGCATCTTGCCCGGTGGCCGCCGCTGCCCGGTGGGTTCAGGGCGGGGCTCGTGGCCGAGGCTCCCGTGCGGACGCACATGGCTGCACGGGCTGAAACGCCCGAGGTCGTTTGTGTGGAAGGGTCGGTGTGGCCCGGGCCAGTGGGAGACGGGAGCATCTCACCTCCCTCTCCAGGTCAGCGGAGGGCGCAGGGGTGGGGATGGGGGAGAACGAAATGTTGGGGCGCATGACCCCGCCCTCGGAGGGTGGTGAGCGAGCAGGGAGGGGCCCGCCGCTCCCCTCCA